ATAAGTAATTGTTTCCTTTCCTTATCTTTTGATTTCTTTGTTTTTGTATTTAGTGGAAGAACAAAGGCCTTGCTCTGCTGTTCTGTATTCTCCAGTTTTTGGCCTTTACATGGTAAGATACCAGCCATAGTTATGCTCTTTTATATATGACCGTAATGTTGTAATTGTATATTTACAAATACACACAAACATAAATGTGTATATAGAAGAATGAGTGAAAATGAGAACACCAGTGAAATAAGACAATAAAAAACCTTGACCTTTGAACCATGCAGTGCTGTAAGTTATATGTTTTCTTTTTAATGGACTGGCATTATTACCTGACAGATATCACTGTAATAGGCATCCTGAAATTTCACACCTGTCTCTGTGATGGCCCAGGGCTTTGTAAAGCTTTCAGAAGTTAATTTGTGCTTTCAGTGGGCCCACATATTTGAAGCAGGAATCTGCGAGTTCAAGCAGATCTTTGAATTTAAGCGCCAGAATGCTATTTTGCTACTATTGATTTTGTCAGCACTGAGATGCTGTTCTTCTGCCCTCTTTCTTGCTCCATCTCTGATTACAGTGGTCTCAGTGGGTGGAGTTGGAAAGAGGGGATGTGTGTAATACAGTCACTAAGTCTAGCAGAAGTTCCAGAATGGCTCATGTTTCCTACAGCACCTTTAATCCATGTTAAATGAATCTAATATACAGTATGAGTTAAATCAACCTTTAAATCCTAGAACGAGAAGCTCAAAAAATATGTTGTTCATTGATGTCTTCAAGAACTTGTAGATGCAAAAGCGCATGAAACTGACCATGTAAGAGTTATTTCAGCAACAGTTGGGATTTTGACACATGGACAATGTTTGTATTGTGTGTCTACACTGAAGATATTTAACAGACATTCTTATCAAGAAGCTATAAAAATAGGGCAATAGTAGCCCTGCTCTGGTAGCTATAATAAAAAAAATACAAGTAATGCAGTGAATGCTGCTGTTATTCCATATTCAATTGTAATGACATCTTATTTATGGACTAAAGTGTGTGTGTGTGTGTGTGTCTGTGTTATGGTGACCAAATGTCCCCACAAGGATAGTAAAACCTTTTTTTTTTTTTTCAACGCTATCTCACAACAAATTTGTACATATTTTATGGTTGGTTAAATTATAGGTGGTTAATTCGTACGACCTCGCTCATACAATTTTGTACGTTTTCTGTGAGGGGTAGGCTTAGGGGCGGTCATTTGTATGAATTCCTATGAATTTTCCACCTCATGAAATACGTACGTTTTTTCACAAAATATGCTAATTAGAATATGTACAAATTGCTGTGAGATCAGGTTGGAATTTTTTTATATTGTGGGGACATTTTTTTGGTCCCCATGAGGAAGGCAGCATATAAATCACACTGGATGGATGGATGGATGGATTGAAATTGTACAAATGCAAGTTATTTGTGAGGGTTAAGGTTAGGAATGAGTTAGGGATAGAATATACTTGTACAGTATTAAAATCATTATGTCTATTGAAAGTTCCCATAAAACATAAGAGAGGGAAATATAGCTTACGATTTTTTTTTTATTCGTCTCTGTTTAAATTGTATCCCTTTTATTTCACAGGTATAGCTTATCCTACATTCCTTTTGCAAGGTGGGTTTCCTTATATTTTCAAAACCATACATTAAAAAAAATGCAGTTTTTTCACAAAATATGCTAATTAGAATATGTACAAATTGCTGTGAGATCAGGTTGGAATTTTTTTATATTGTGGGGACATTTTTTTGGTCCCCATGAGGAAGGCAGCATATAAATCACACTGGATGGATGGATGGATTGAAATTGTACAAATGCAAGTTATTTGTGAGGGTTAAGGTTAGGAATGAGTTAGGGATAGAATATACTTGTACAGTATTAAAATCATTATGTCTATTGAAAGTTCCCATAAAACATAAGAGAGGGAAATATAGCTTACGATTTTTTTTTTATTCGTCTCTGTTTAAATTGTATCCCTTTTATTTCACAGGTATAGCTTATCCTACATTCCTTTTGCAAGGTGGGTTTCCTTATATTTTCAAAACCATACATTAAAAAAAATGCTGTTGACACAAATCGACAGTCACTTGAGGAGACAAATTACAAATAAATTAGCTAAGTGGTATAGCAAAATAAAAAAAATTGCAGATGTCAAAGACTGTCACTAGACCAATTTACTTAATTATTTTATTGTAGTAGTTGCTTTTTTTGCAATATTATCTATTATACAAAATATGCAAGTAAAATTGTTAAAATCTGCCATTTCCATTTCGAAATATCACACAGTACGCCTATTGTGTGAAAACTCACGTAATTGCTTTATAGACTAAAATCAAAACTGTCATTCTGTCACAGCCAAAAAAGACACTTTTAATCATCTGCTTTTTGGCTTTGGTGTTTGTTTACCTTTGGCTGTTTGTTTTTATGTAGGGATGCAATTATTAAGTTGTTCTCCGCGTGCTTCAAGTGAGATGCCTCTACATTTGGCCTTGGCTGTCTCTCTGTGTGCTGCTTTGGCTCCAGCTTCGGTGCTGCCTTCAATGCCACTCATGTACCCACTCTGCAGCCTGGCACAGACACCTCACCACACTACAGGCTCCCCTTACTCTCCCCAACGGATGGACACTCTCCATCTGTGTGAACAAGCACACACAGACAAGTACTCTTTCTCTCACACACACATTCAAGTAGGAAAATATGAAGGATGAAAAAATCTGGTTGAGTTTCGGACACTGCCCTATAGTGACATGTTTTGTGCAGCAAGATGGAGCAGCTTATTTTACATTTAACTGCTGTGTAATTACTTAATTTGTTCCTACGTGCCTTCCTCTCTGCCGTCATCCAAGGATTACTTAAGGACTAGATTGGGTAGAAATGTAACCAGTGTTTGCAGGTTTTTTTTTTTGTATTTAGGTTTATTTTTGATTTTTTTGCTAGAACAAGACAATGATGAAGGGCTTTCTAAATAATTGATCCAATTATATTTTAGTTCAGAAGTTATCTATTATAGGTAAGTAAAAGGATGACAGAAATGTCTTATTACTTATTGTTATCTTATTAGATAAGTCAAATATTAAGCACTCATGAGGGTGCCAATGTATATCTTTATGGTCCATTTGTCTTCAAACAACTCTATTTCTTTCTTTGCACTTAGGAGCAAAATTATGTGGCTTTTTCTGATTTCTGTTTCATATGCCTTGTCCTTATATTTTCAAATCATGTCAGACACATTTCCTTTTAACTGTATTAATTTCAGAAACGACAGTGGTAGTTTTCCTCCTTGTTGTTTTTTTAAAATGTCTGCTAATATATTCACTGCAGAGATTCATTTTATTGATATGTATAAAAATATTTTTCTGACTGAAATATACGTTCCAGAATTATTTGATCATGACTGCAATTGAAATTTTCCCTACATGATGATTAATTGCCCATGTTTGTTTCATTATATAGATTTGCATTATTTCTATGAAAACAATTTATATCTGAGGTGTTTAAGAATTGTTACTGTATGGACATTATAACAATCGTTGCTATTAAAAGTTATTCATTCAGTCTACGTGAATCAATTTCTCTTCTCTAATTCTAGTTTTACTTACATTTTCATGTGAGTGCATCCTATTGTAAATAAATAAGTACTTACGTGCTGTCATTTAAGAAGCCCCGTCCCACAATGCATCTGTGAGTCTCAATAATAAGACTTTTATGAGTTGACTGGTGTGCGTAAGTCATCTCCGCTAGTGAAAGGTCAGGGAGGGTTGGTTTGCTGATGTTTGATATTCCGGACGATTCTCCGCTAATGAGACTTTTTATTCGGATTTAAACTCTTTGAATCCTCTAATCTCCATGCGCGTGGCTCGGTGATTAGAGCGCCGGTCGCTGGATCGAGTTTCCGTTCATCCTCGCCCGCTGCAGAGAACATCCAGTATTTGATTTCTGCTCCACATGGCTTCCACAATACTAAAGCTCTTTGACAGTATGCCCTTATTTACGCCCTCACATATGAGTCCACCTTGTGAATCACAGCTGATCTTCTGATGCTTCATACCAGTCCGACTTCAGGAAGCCAAATGAGGTTGAAAGCATCACGTATACAACAGCTCCATCGTTCATTTAAAAGGAAATATGTGGATTTAGCCTTGTTGTAGAGTTAAAATGTGTGTATATATATATATAAATTTCGGACATTCTTATTTGTCATCGACCCATATTTAAAGCTTAAAACAGACCAGAGCATTGATATATCACTATATATATATATATATATATATATATATATATATATATATATATAGAATTTTCATTTGTTTAAGTGTTATGTATTTTTTAAATAACTACATCACGCCGTTGATACATTTACAATTTTGATACATTTTACACACACACGCACGCACAAATTACGAGCTGTCCATGGTTCTGAAAAAGCAGAAGAACATCAGAAGTCATTTATTATATTTGCAGTAGCCTATATGCATAAAACAAATCCGGAGCGTGATTTTCCATGTTTTTCATTCCTTTGCTTGAGTTAAGGTAGCGTTTATCATACGTTTATTTTTCTCTCTGAAGTGTAATGCCTGCAAGTTTCCTTTGACCTTTCTACCCAGGTTTTTCCTATTATTTAACCAGCATAATATTTCCTAAATATAAACGTGAAGACCGAAAATACACTTGAATGTAGAACATTAAAGTGGGTTTTGAACTGAAAACAATGGGTTGTGAATGAATCACTTAATTGGAGAAGCCCACGTGACTGCACGTTTATCCCCCGGTCATAAGAACAGGTGGTCGCAGAGAGCTGAAGGTACAGATCCAACATACACACTGCTGGTATACTAAAGAGAGGCGCTTTTCTTTTATGATTGAAGCCGGCCAAAAGTTGTGTTGGGCACAACGTTACGTCTAAATCTCCTCATAAATTCTAGAAAGCTAAAGTTAAAGTCCAGTTCTTTAGTACTTGTCAAGCGCGTGTGAGATTTGCCCGTCACTCATGAAGGTGGAGGAAGAGCTGAGGAGCGGCGGCGGTGGAGCGGGGACCGGTGCTCGGGGCAGCAACGACTGCTGCATCACCAGACTGCTGAGCGTCGTGGAGAGCGAGTTACAGGCCGGCCGAGAGAAGGGAGACCCCACTGAGAAACAGCTCAAAGTCACCCTGGAAGATTCCGAACTCTGGAGGAAATTCAAAGAAGTGACCAATGAGATGATTGTGACCAAGAACGGCAGGTGAGCCACCATGAACCAGATGCCAGAAGTTGTAAAAGTGTTTGTTAATATTAATTAATAACATTTGTTTTGCACAGAAGCTGCTAGAAAACAGGTTCGTGACGTTTACTCGAACTTACGGATTTATTTTTCACAAATTACATTCAAATTCTTACATTCAAGTAAATTACAAGTTCTTATTGTTTATACATTAAAGAACATGTGGTTATAACTATATAGTATTTAATTCGTGTTGTGTCAGAAAATTAGTACAATTAATAGTATACTTAATATAATTAGTAAAGAAATAAGTATGACATTCATATTTTTGAGAATTTTTTAACACATGTACATAAAATGTCCCCAAAAAAAGTATTTGGACACTGAAGTTATGTAGGATGTGTGTTTGCATTATTTAACAAAATATCAAATCAAGTGGCATATTTTAAAGCAAGATAACAAACACTTTAAAACAAAACGTTCTACAAAAGATAGCCTATTTATTAGGTTTTTAAATGATTAAACAATATGTATACTAGACAAAAAAACACCTGCTTCAGTCAGATCTTTCAAAAATGGCTCGGAAAAGTTTGTCATGGAGAAAAAAAAGGGGTTGCAGATGCCAATGCAATGACATGCAAGCATTTTAAATGTTATCTTAATGGTATCTTAAAACTTTTAGGGCACAGTGTAAGCATAAAATGGACTGTAATATTGTTTCTTGAGAGAACAGAAAAATGTCAATGTGATAGTTTGAATCTAAACTTTAAAAACAATTGTGTTAGTCTTAATCCTTATGAAAATGTTTATTAATTTGTAAGTTGTAGTTTTGGTGTTCTTTTTTTTTTTTTTTTTTTTTTTAAAGTGTTCTCATTAATAAAATCAAACTATGTCCCTGTGGTCCAGTTATCTATCCGTCTTTCTATTAAAATGCCCTGTCATCCCTAGGCAGGTTGATCATTTTGTGTTGCTGGTGTTGGCGCATGGTGGTGTTTTTATGTTTTTTTTTTTTGGAACAGGCAGATTAATTTAATTGAAAAGGCTTGTTGTGGTGTTATCGAGCTGAAGGGTGACTTGACCAACTCATTCAGTAGTTACAGGTCAGCTCTGCAGGTGGGTGTCCTTCCATTTGCATCCCCTCTTAAACGTGTTCTCATCCATAAAAAAATCATGGGGGAAAAAAGTGGAAAATGACTAGCGTCCAACCTCTCGTGAAGTTCGTGCTCGTAGAGTTCTGGCAGGCAGTGTGAATCGTTGTTGGGGATAACTTTTTAATCATGTATGTGAGTTTTTGGACAGATTGAATAAGATCTTAAAGAGATGTAAAAATGTAAAATCCAGAAATGTAAAATCTTTGATTCTTCTTTATGTGGAAAACAAAAGAATATGTGTATTGGTCCATGTCAGTTGAGTCCAAAACAACATGGGAAACCTTTGACTTTCATTAAGAGAAAATAACATTAAATAAAGCACAAGATGTTTCAAAAGTTTGTTCCTACACATATAAAATAAGATACTTTGAAAAATGTGGTGTTTTTTGTTTTGTAAAACCATTTTGGGTTCCCCAAAGAACCTTTCAGTGCACCATTTTTAGTGTAACGAACATTGTAATAATCTGAAGAACACTCTTAAATATAAAGGTTATTTATTGGCATTGATGGTTCCATGAAGAACCTTTAACATCCACAGAACCTTTCTATTCCACGAAAGGTTCTTTTTAGTGGAAAAAAATGTTCTTTAGATTATTAAAATGTTGTTCACATTAAGAAGAAAAAGGTAGTTCTTTTAAGAACTGTTAAGGTTCAAAACGGTTCTTCTGTGGCATCGCTTTGAAAACGACTTTTGGAAGCTTTATTTTTTGGAATGAAAGAATCTTTTGTGCAATGAACCATCAACACCAATTAAGAATCAATTAAGAGTGTACAACTGATTCAGAAACACTTTTCACTCAGAAATTCCTAGAAAATTTCAAAATAATTACCAAGAAACTACATGTTAATTGAAATGGGAAAGACTGAAATAGTAGTTCCTTGTAAACAAACTCCAGTAACCTTCATTTTATTTACAGCTTTGAAAAAGCATTTTTTGGAGATCCAGTAAGCATTCTTCTGTCCTTTTGTAGGAGGATGTTTCCCGTTCTGAAAGTCAGCGTGACGGGTCTGGATCCCAACGCCATGTATTCGTTCCTGCTGGACTTCAGCCCTGCAGACGATCACCGCTGGAAGTATGTGAACGGCGAGTGGGTCCCTGCGGGCAAACCTGAGCCTCACAGTCACAGCTGCGTCTACATCCACCCCGACTCGCCCAACTTCGGTGCCCACTGGATGAAGGCCCCGGTGTCCTTCAACAAAGTCAAACTGACCAACAAACTCAACGGAGGCGGTCAGGTGCTGACACATACAAAGACACACACAAGTTTCCACTGCACTTTCTTCTGCCGATTTCTCATCTAAATCGTTCCCTGTAAAAAGTCTGAGAAAACAAAGGCCCTATGCACATGTAACGCTCGTGTTGTGCAGGTGTGTAATGCCGTGCGTGACCCGTTCCGTAATCTTGAGTAGCCTCTCTGGGCTCTTGTGTGTCCAAAACAGGCTTCTGTAGCTTTTAGGAGTCTTGGCCTGCCTTTAATCACCCTGTGCGCTGTCACAGGGAAATTTCAAGTGTGCATTTATACAATTAGTGCGCTCCTCTGCATCCACTTCACCTATGGAGCCCCTTTGTTCAGCAGGGACTGCATGTAAACAGGAATAAACAGCTCTTAATTGCCACTTTTCTCGTTTAATGCACTTCCTGCCGTTCAGACAGAGAGTGGTCTACTTCAGCTAGCCATCCTGGCTTTCAGCGGGGCCGCTGCGAGGTGCTCCAGCCCGCTCCATTCGAGTATGACTCCGCCACCAAATTATTATTGGTATTTACATGACCCCTCCCCTGCGCCCTCCCCGCCACCCATCCTCTTCTCCTCTATTCCTGTCGGTTCCCTATTTACCGGGGTTTTTAAACGCAGAGCTGGCAGCGGAGAGGACGACGAGAGAGAACCAGCTCTAAATGAAATAATTGCTGTGGTTAGTTGTACATTATGGTAATTACCTCTGTTTTTTCTATGCAAAATTAATTTAGCCATCAGTCCTTAGATGTTCAAAAAGGCAACATATTAAAAAAAAAAGGCAGCGGGGAGAGAAAAGCACACAAAGCCCTTTATGTCCCCTGTAGCCATGCAGATGAGTACCTGCCCCTCATCAGTCATTGTAATCTACCAATTAGAGTAAAAAAAAAATGCTGCTTTTCTCTCTCGTTCCATCCGTCTCTTTCTCAGAATTCAGTCCATAGATTTTTTTCGTGGTCACTGCAGTCATCCGAAGAATTTTTTCACACAGAAACAAAGACAATGCAGTATCTAAATGTAAAGACCGAACAATATACAGTATGGTGATACTGTCCGAATTTTCAGCTGATGACTTGAAAGTTCTAATCCCACAGTTTTATGACATAAATAATTATGTATTGATAAAATAGTCTACATTTCTTCTCATCTGAGTAGGATAGTAGGAAAGTTCACCCCAAAATTTAAATCCTCTCATCATTTACTCACCCTCAAGTTATTCAAAACCTGTATGATGTTCTTTCAGCTGTTGAACACAAAAGAAGATGTTTTAAAGAATGATGGTAACCTAAGAGTTGATGGTACCCATTGACTTCCATAGTATGGAAAAAAATGCTATGGAAGTCAATGGCTACCGTCAGCTGTTTAGTTACCAACATTCTTCAGAATATCTTCATTTTCTGGTCAGCATTTGTGTGAAGGCATACAGATTAGGAACAACTTGAGGGTAACGTTTTAATTTTGGGGTGAAATATCCAAGCACAGTACTGTCAAAATAATTAACACAGCCATCAAAACAGTTTTAATTTTGCCATACAGCACTGCAAAATAGCCGCCATGTCAGGTAACTTTATACAAAGATGTTGACATTATAATTAGAATCATTAAAATTAGACATTAAACTACTAGTTTGACATTCAAATTTGAATCTAATAAAAATGTTTCTTGAGCACCAAATCAGCATATTAGAATGATTTCTGAAGGATCATGTGACACTGAAGACTGGAGTAATGATGCTGAAAATTCAGCCATCACAGGAATAAATTACACTTTAAAATATATTAAATGCACATATTATATGTCAAATATGTGATATGTAATGTGTGTGGAATTATGGGTAACTCATAACTGAAAATGAAATGTATTATTATAGCCATTTACAACAGTTGTTTGAAATGCTAAGGATTTCATTCTGTGTTGTTAATTCTTCTTCTTTATATTCAAAACCTCTTTGCAGTTTTGCATCCTGTTCGATACCTGTTTGAAATTCATTTAAAACATATACTAGTACAGTATGAACCTGGATTTTTAAAGTCGGTGTGTGTTATATAGATCTTATAAAAGTAATCTTCTGTAAAACAAAAACAAAAAAAAAAAACGTATTTTCCTTTTCTTGGTTTACCTGGTCCAGATCATGCTGAATTCTCTCCATAAGTACGAGCCTCAGATTCATATTGTTCGTGTAGGAGACAGCCACAGGATGGTGACCAACACCTCTTTCACAGACACTCAGTTCATCGCTGTAACGGCTTACCAGAATGAAGAGGTTAGAGCATCTTCACAAAACATTTAGGTTAAACGTGTCTAAAGAAATCACACTCATGTTGTTCCAAAAAACAGGTCACATTTCTTACTACTATAGACCTTGAAAAGTGTTGTTGATGTTCATGCTGCTCCTTTCCATGCAATGAAAGTGAATAATCAAGCTCCAAAAAGTAATCTATACAACTTGTGCACTGTATAAAAGTCTTCTAAAAAATCTGATATTCAGTAGTAAATCTTGCTGGGTGAATTGTACCATTAAAAAGAAGATTGCTTATTGCAAAATATAATGACTAATAAAATAGTTGAGAAAACTATTTGAGATTTTATCCTCACAATCCTCTATGCTTCTTCCTTTCACAGATAACTGCACTGAAGATAAAGCACAATCCGTTTGCCAAAGCTTTCCTTGATGCAAAGGAAAGGTACAATTCATTTAAATGACATTACCCAACAAACACCGCCAGTGTCAGAAGATAAGTTTACTCACCGAGTTAACGATGCGTATTTCAACTGATAATAATATCATAGCGGGCATTAGCGCTAGTCAAGCTAGCATGACTGTGCGAAATCAGCCGTGATTAACGACCAATTATTAAACATTTATGCTTTGAATCGAGTGAGTGTGTGAGTAAAGGAGCTTGTTGGAGAGGCAGTGTGAAGTGAGAGTGAGAGATTTCGAGCGGCTACAGTGAAGAATGTGTGAGATATTACACAGTAATGTTGGTGGTATGAGTGCTGAATAACTGTTCTCCAGTCATAACTTCACTAGAGCAGAGGTACAACACTAATCAAGTGAGACTGTAGACTGTACAGTGTAAATTTAAACTGTTAAAAGTGAATCTCATGAACATGTTTACACTAAAAAATGCTGGGTTAAATAGAACCCAGAGCTGGGTTAAAAAGGGACAAACCCAGCTATTGGGTTGTTTTGACCCAGCGGTTGGGTTCAAAACATCCCAACCGCTGGGTTTGTCCCTTTTTAACCCAGCATTTTTTAGAGTGTAACCCCCCCAAAAATGGTAACACTTTAGTTTAGGGACTATTTCTCACTGTTAACTTGTTTAACAGCATGCATATATTACTAGCTTATTGGCTGTTTATTAATACTTCTAAAGCACACATTAATACCTTATTCTGCATGACCATATTTTACATCCCTTAATCCAAGCCCATAGCTAAATTTAACATCTACCTTACAAGCTATTATTAATAAGCAGCAAATTAAGAGTTTATTGAGGCTAATGCTTTACTTAATAGACAGTTAATAAAGTATGGCCAAAGAAATTATATTTTGCATAAAGAAAATTGTATAATATGCATAAATAATTAATGCATATTTTAGGACCGTAGTATTTGCATTGTTACAATATATATATATATATGACAATTGGAAAAGAAAGATTACATTAACAGAAATTAAAGGCAGTACTACAAATACTATTTTGATATAAACATTACTATTTAAGTAATTTTTTTTTTCCAGCACAGTCCATACACCAGTGAAATATGAATACTACATTTAATCAAATTATTAGAAAATGCATGTGATGAAATTAAAAGTGATATGTCATGATAAGAGTAAAAGTATAAGAGAGATTATGAAATATTTACCTGTGAAAGGATGTACATCCAATAAAAACCTGACAGGTGTCACATGATTTGCCTAAGAAGAATATAAATAGTGGGCATTTCTCACTGTTAACTTGTTTAACAGCATGCATATATTACTAGCTTATTGGCTGTTTATTAATACTTCTAAAGCACACATTAATACTTTATTCTGCATGACCATATTTTACATCCCTTAATCCAAGCCCATAGCTAAATTTAACATCTACCTTACAAGCTATTATTAATAAGCAGCAAATTAAGAGTTTATTTAGGCTAATGCTATACTTAATAGACAGTTAATAAAGTATGGCCAAAGAAATTATATTTTGCATAAAGAAAATTGTATAATATGCATAAATAATTAATGCATATTTTAGGACCGTAGTATTTGCATTGTTACAATATATATATGACAATTGGAAAAGAAAGATTACATTAACAGAAATTAAAGGCAGTACTACAAATACTATTTTGATATAAACATTACTATTTAAGTAATTTTTTTTTTCCAGCACAGTCCATACACCAGTGAAATATGAATACTACATTTAATCAAATTATTAGAAAATGCATGTGATGAAATTAAAAGTGATATGTCATGATAAGAGTAAAAGTATAAGAGAGATTATGAAATATTTACCTGTGAAAGGATGTACATCCAATAAAAACCTGACAGGTGTCACATGATTTGCCTAAGAAGAATATAAATAGTGGGAAAAAAAGTCAAAGACAGACTCATGATAATATAAGTACTCTTTGCATACACTATACCATGCAGTATTTTTAATACTTGCATTAATGCATATCCATAAATGCACACGTTTAATAAATAAATTGTGACAGTAAAGATATTAAATTGTTACTAAAAATATCAGTTTCTAATGATTCATCATCAAAGAATTCTGTGAAAGAAAAATGTATCAGTTTTCAGAAAAAATAAGCAACACGGCCGTTTTCAACAAATAACAATAAGAAAAGGATCATGTGACACTGAAGACTGGAGTAATGATGCTGAAAATCCAGCTTTGCATCACAGGAGGAAATGTGTTACATTTATGTGTATTGTTAACCATTATGATATATTAGTTCTATATTTGAGGTTTGTCTCATGCATGAAGCCTTTTCTCTCCATAGGAGCCATCCTAAGAATCATCTCGAGCTGCCAGCTGAAAACCAGCATATGGGCATACCACACTGTTAGTCATTCATTTTCCTGTTTTTGTCTGATTTATAGACGTATTTAAGAAATATTTACAGCATTTTGTTATGTGAATCATATTGGTGTCTGTTTGTTGGTTGCAGGCGGATGGTTCATATCAAATCCAGACACTCTGTGTTCTGCTAGTGGTGGTAACTTTCCGTACCCAGGAGGTTTACCACTTACTCCCCACCATGGGTACAAACACTACCCAGGCCTGCATGGGCACCGAGCAGCCCCGTACCCATCGCCCTACCTGCCCCGCCATCAACACCACCGTGGCCATAACTCAGGTGCAGTTTAATCATGTCTGTAATTACAGACAATCATGCGTTTTGTATAAAGACAGGGTTTCCCAAATGGGGGTTCATGAAGGAAATGCAGGGGGTTTTGTATGCTGATGAAAAGCTAATAATTAATAAAACTGAATTTTGGGTTCACGGTAAAGGCGGCTTCTCACAAACGCTATTTCTGCATGTGCTGTGAGTTTAATGCATTTGTGAACGCAGTATGCACTAGATTCTCTTTTATATTCACGTTTGCATAATTTTCAACATTTTTGTGGATGGACGTTTACTGCATTTCACCGGTATTTCACCAAAATAAAAGCTTGAGGATTTCAACATTTGAAATGGAATAATTTAAAACATAAGTATTAGTATTGTAACATGCAGTGTAAAATAAAATTGTTATAATGATCAAATAATAATTTTTTTGTACTTTGCAGCACAATTGTAATTTATAACAGTAATATATTTCTTCATTTTTTTATAATTAGTTTAAACCAATAATAATAATAATAATAATTATTATTAAATAAAACAATAAAAAAAATATTTTGTTTATTTGCATGTCATGCGACCATTAACAGTCATCACTGAACCATAAATGTACAAATGTGTCTATAAATTATTCAAATATTATCTTAAAATATTGGGGTTACTTCCAAGTATTTTATGTTCAAAGGGTTTGGCTGACAAAAAAAAAATGGGAACCCCTGTTTTAAGGGAATAATTCATCTAAAAATCAAAATCACGTAATTGTTCACTCACCATCATGTTTCAAACTTGTATGACTTTCCTCCTCCCGTGTAAAACAAATGTACCAGTCATTAATTTCTGTATAATAAAAGTAAATGGGGATCAATACTCAAGCTCCAAACGGACAAACATTTTACATATCGTATCACTTCGAGCTTTTCTAGTTGTCAGTTTTTTCTTTGTTAACTCACTTCAGTTTTCTCATTTTTCCTTGAAGTGTCTCTATCTGAGAATCTGAGTCCAGGTGCTGTGCAGATGTTCTCTGGTCACGAGGGATGGACAGGTGTGTCTCCTTCTGGTCCTGCTGCGATGCTGTCTATGCAACCTGCTCCAAGCTCTCCTGGAGTCAGCAGGTCAGAAAGAAAACCGACTTTTAAATCTTACACAATATGACAATATTTCCAACAATAAGTAAACAAGCTCATGTGATTTTTCAGTCAGTATCCATGCCTGTGGACTGTGAGCAGCTGCACTGTATCATCCAGTCCTCCGGGGGGCATTGTGAGTGCCACACACAGCCAGGAGGAGCCCGCAGATGGAGTCTCCACCTCAACATCACCCTGCTCTTTGCTGCAGGGCCACGGACCAACCAGCTCTGAGGGTGATGTAGATCAAGCCAATCACAGTAGGGTAGGCGGGGTGAGCTGGCCTTCTGTCTCCACCCACTCATTTTGAGTGTTCTCATTTATTAGCAAAGAAAGAAGTGTACATGGTCTTTGAAGATTATGAGTGTACAGCTGGTTCTGACGTGTCAATGGTCCCGTCCCAAATGACTCCATCAGCCATTTCTCTGAAATCTACGCTTAATAGCTTTGTTGGAATAGGAACTCTACTGTCAGGAGTTCCTCCAGTGACCCCATCATAAGAAAAAAGTTGATGTATTTGATTTCCCTGGAGTAAACAATAGGATATTTGAGGCATCTACCAAATTTTCAAAGGGTTCTGCCAAACTGGAATTCTAAGGATCCTAGAAGAAAGACAAATGGTCTCTGTAAGAAAAGAAAAAGTCACAACTCCAAACAGGGCTATCTTTTATGGTAGAAAAAGGGCAACTTTTTGTGCTTTCAGTGTGTTGTAAAGTTGTCGTAATATCGTATTTTGGTCATTGCAATGGATTTGAACACAGCTTTTGTGTGAATGTTGTTGTCAAAGTCAATGATCATCTAACAGCAGCACAGAGGTCATGGGTTCAATTCCCAGAGAACACACATAGTGATTAAAAACATGTCATTTGCATAAAAACATCTGTCCTATAACTATAAATGTACATTAGCATTCAAAAGTTTGAAAAAAAAACCTTCTGACCCCAAACTTTTGAAGGGTATTATACAGAAACAGAAACTCGTTCCTTTATCTCATATTCTTATTTCTTTTCACAGTCCTTTTTTGTACAGTCTGGTCAAAAGTTCAAAGCTGTTATCTGAACACAGAACATCTGACTGGAGTGACTCAGAGAGAAAGCTTAATACAACTACAACTGTGGTAAAACTCTACAATTAGGCCCCAGGATAAATGGTTAGTTAATCAATTAAACCACTTTGGCTTGTGGAACAAGGCAGTGTTTTGGCAGGCACAGTGATTTTCGCTTTTACCTGGACTTTTTACCTCCACAACAGCAAACACATTCATTCACAATCTTTTTTTCTCTCTTTCTCTCTCACACACATACACACGCACATATTCATTGCATTCACACTTTCACAGGCAGAAACACAAACACATTACAGTTGCATTCACACAACTACACACACAGCTCTGCTTCCTCCAAAAGCAGGCCTCACTTACCCGCAGTTTTAAAACGCTGCATAAAGAGAAGACAATTATTTCCCCATCATATTTTTCCGCTCTTGAAAATGTTATTTTAATCGTGCCGGTGGAGTGGACCACTCTGTTGTTTTCACATGAGTGTAAAAAATAATGACGGCTGTCCAGTGAATGGGCCCTTGGCATGTTCAGGCCACTATGGGCATGCAGCAGACTATCTCTCTCTTTCTCTCACACACACACACACACACCTAAACCGACACATACACAGTGTCTAAACAGCTTCAGAAAGGACCAAAAAAATGTTCTGAATTTTATTTTTTTTATCTTATATTTTCCATTTCTCTTATTTTCATATTAGTACTTATTTTTGGTCTGCAATGACACGTCGTATTTTAAGCCTTTAAAAATTTTGAAAATATAAAAAATGTATTAAGAGTACCTGGATTAAAAAACAACCAAATTCCACAGCTGATATACAACCCCAAAGACCTAAAAATAAGTAAATAAAAATAACTAGCATTTAATATGATGTGAAAAAGGTGACTACAATAATCGTGAACCTGACTGCTAGTGCATCATTTACCTGACATGTTTAATAAAAAAAAAAGACAAGAGCGTATGTACAAGACAGTACTTGTATTGTTTTGCTGTTTTTTAAAGGACAGTTCACCCAAAAAATAGAAATGTACTTACCCTCAAGTCTCCTTTTTTTTTTTTATCCAGTGGTGTACCAATATTCTTCAAAAAATCTTCTTTTGGTTTTTGCAGAAAAAAAGTCAGTCATACAGGCTTGGAATAACATGAGGCAGAGTAAATAACAGAATTTAGATTTTTTTTTGGGTGAACTGTTCCTTTAATAAGAAACATTTAAAATATATAACATTCTATTAGAGGACATAAAATAATTTTTGGTATTAATGTAGCTAAAGGACTCAAGCTTCACTGTATTTGTTATTTGTAATCGTATTGCTCTTAAATCACATTGGAAGCCCTAACTTGCCATAAAACCTGTACCATCATTTCATGTTGATATGAACAATATATTGCAAATAAATTCTGAGTTTCATCATCTCTTAGTTGCCACCTAGATACAGTGACTCAATGTCCATGTCATAGTCTTTCCTGGGAGGCTCCTCTGGGCTGGAGAACTCCTCTCCAAGCATCCTCCACCACGGGAGACGCATGCTCTGCATCAAGGCATTGTGGGATTGACGGGCGCGTGTGGCCACAGGGCAGGAGCGGCTCAGAAACAGATTCACATCCTCCGCTCTGGCATCCTTCAGCGACGGCGCATCTAAAATGAACAAACAAATGAGAATTTTAGAATTGGTGGTTCTCAGTGTCCACAATAATATCCAGATGCTCCATAACATTTCCAGTTGTTCACGATTTATTGGATAAGGATTTTTAAAATGTTTTTTTTTTACTCACAATTTCTACTCAATAGTTTTTGGGTTTGGTATAACTACAAAGAGGGATATTTATTTAAAGATGCACAATGGAGTTATAAGGGTATCTGAAGGATTTTTTAAATCAAATGTAAGATTTTTAAGACTGGCACAAAAAAATAAAAAACCATGTAAGCAGGGTGGGGCGATGTCTATGGTAACATATTAAAATAAATACAGTGAAATTATTATAAAATGCATGATTTACAGTTCAGACTGAGGTTTTCACAAAAACAAAGTTTTATAAAATGAAAAATTTCATTTTTTTAAACCATTTTTTAAGAAAAGCAATGACTCAAAAGTATCAATTACCACATTATTTTAAACAATTCTCAATCAATTATTATATTAATTTAATAACATAAATATGTCTTAGCGTCTTAATTGTTTTGATTTTTATAATGCATTAGCTTCATGTCGATCATTTACAAGTGCATGTTTGCTGCAATGGGTCAATTTTCTATGGAAGCCCGTTTCCGCCACTGAATAAAACATAAAACAAAGTAAATCGCAAATTCTTCTCTCACAATTCTGACTTTTTTTCTCAGAACTGCAAGATATAAACTTGCAATTGCAAGTTATGAAGACAGAATTGCATTATAAACTTGCAGTTGTGAGAAATAAAGTCAGAAATGCCCGATTTAAAAATGTGTGACACATGCAATATAGAGGTATTGCACCAGATACATAATCTATGCATATGTAGACATCTGAAATCAGGCTTGCACAGCTACAGTAGAAGCTTTTGCGCTCACATACAGTATTTGGATACGTTCCGCTTTGCAGAATTCCTGAAATCATGCTTCACATCAGTAGATCAGCTATAGATTTATGTACGTACTTAGTAAAAGCTCCAAGTCTGTGTTGATCTGCGCAAGTAGAGCCTGCCTGTGCTGCTCCTGTGCTCGATCAGATGCTCTGTTGATCAGGTGCTGGTGCAGGAGACTCTGTGCTCTCTGATGGAGCTCCAAACTGCCCTCTGCTGACGTCACTGATGACTGCACAACAGAAAAAAAACACCATTTAGAAAAGAAACTTTTAAAATGAACATTATATGGCTATATTTGGATACAGCTTAATTGATGCTTTAACTCCAAGGCATAAAATACCAAGAGAACACAATTTCATTTCTTCAAGGTGACTCACAGGATGTAGAGAGATGTGCTCCTGTGTGTGTTGCCTGAGCTCCGTTCTTCTACGGTCAGTCAGTCCTTTGGGTCCTTTTAACGGCGTGAGAATACTCCTTTGTGCTCTACGACGTTTTAAAAACTGCAGAATCTGACAAATAAGAACATGAGCACATAAATGATCAAGATTATCAGAGAAAAACAACTCAATATCTTTAATGCATTAAAATGACAAGTGTACAATGTCCATTTATTATTTTCATATATGTACAAAGTCCATGGTTATTAAAGTTAACTTAAACCATAAAAAACATTTATGCTACTTGAAATAAACTTTAAATCTTAACTAGTGTAAAATAAATGAATAAATAAGCTTATTTTATTTTAGCTAATTGCCAAGGTAACATTTCTAATTTTTGTTAAAACTGAACTAAAAATGAAAATATATATTATTACACGACACTGTGAAATACTCGATTCCGATTGGTCAGTCACCACATTCCGAGGTATGTTATTTCCTGATAACAACTCGTAAAAACTAAAAGCACAGGATCATCCGGGTAACTCCGTTGAGCTTTATTCTGCAATAACAACCGACTGGATGTACATTATCCCTTACTTAATAAGAATAATAAAATTAATTAAATAAAAAAACACAAAGCTACTAAAACATGAAAAATTGTAATGAAAATGGAAAAACTCATTCAAAATATTAGGAAAAACTATAATAGGATCTCAACGATATTAAAATAAGAGTGACAGAGTCTGAGCTTCTTACAATGTAAAACAGCTGTCCTTTAGTCACATTAGCTGTACACTCACGGCTCTCTGTAGAGTGACAGCAGCTCTGTGCTGTCTGAGAATGTATCTGTGCTGCTGGAAGTTGCGTCTCTCTCGGTGTCCTCTCCACACTCTCTGAATCAGCACGGCTGCCTTGTTCTCCAGCTCCCCCAGGTATCTCTCCACCTGGGCTGAGAGAGGAAGACAACAGTTAAAGACCTCACAAAATGGTTTGACATGCAGTGTTCTTTCATTTGTTGACATGCTTGCTCGCCAATATTTTCGGTCTTCATTTTAATTTTAATTGTTGCAAATGTGCTTTTGTGTTTTTAGTATTTTTTTTCTGAAATACTAGTTAAGTTTAATTTCTTTTAATTCCATTAAAAAATACATTTACATTTTAGTTTTTCACCTTAAAATTATTTCAGCTAGTTGCTAATGCAGTTTCTGATTTTTGTTTAGTTTAAGTGTTTCATTTAATATTTCTATTTTATTTTATTTCAGCTTTTTTCAATTAAAGGTGGGCTAAGCGATATTTCAAAAACTCTTTAGA